AATTACATAAGTCAGGTTATAAGTACAATGCATGATCAATGTCACACTTTCCATCATTCTCCCACATTTTCTACCTCCCATCCTTACAACTATGTTCAGCTTATTTTTACAGGGGAAGATTTTGAGATAGAGAGAAGCAAAGTGAATTGCCAAAATCAGAAATTCAGGAAGTGAAAAATCCAGTGTTGTGTACCTGATTACCTTCTCATCACAGCATAGCATTGCTGCTTGGGAACTAGTTAGAAATGTAAATTCCCAAATGTAAATGTAAATTCCCTCTCTCAAGAAACTAAATCTGTCTTTTTAATTTTCATTCTTTTTCTTTGCCCTATTTTCCATATATGAATTGAACATTTTATAATCCTATTTTTATTTGTTTTTAATGTGTTCGAGTATATCTCTTTGCATAGTGTTTATTGGTGTTTGCTCTCAGTATTACATTATAAATACAAAATTTATCACTATCTTCTAACATTATTATGTATCAGGTTTTGTGAAATATAAAAATATAGAAACTTCTCCCTTTTCGATGGGTGACAATGTCAGACACCTTGTATTCATGTACTGTTTTGTAGAATGGGAACTTCTTTGTACAACTACTTAAAGATGATAATAAGAAAAAAGTTTAAAGAAGAGAAATGTCTCCGTTTTATATCCCTTTAAGTTCCTCTACTTATAAAATGTCACATTTTTTTCTACATACACTGTGATCACATTACATGTTACAAACTTTCAGGGAATTCCTAATAAGGAATGAGGAAGGCAGTCAAGGGTAGCAGGGAATGTGTGGGAGAGGGTGATGGGGGTAAATATGATCAAAGGATATTACATATATGTGTGAAAAATATTGCTAAATTCACTGGGTGCCTCTGGCTCATACTTATAATCCTAGCCACTTAAGAGGCTGAGACTTGAGGATCACAGTCCCATACCAGCACAGGCTGGTTAATTAACCAGCAAAAAGCCAAAAATGGAACTGTGGCTCAAGTGCCTTTAGCCAAAAAGCTAAGGGAGGGTACAAGGCCCCAAATTCAAGCCCCAGTACCAGCACAAAAAAGAAAATATCATTAAATTTATTTTCAGCAATTTAATATTGGTAATTTAAAAAGAGAAAACTTTCCCTTTGATCAGGAAACATAACTTTTTAAACCTCAAAAGTATCCCATATTTACTCACACTTTTGCTTTCAGTGTTTATATTTCCTTCTTGCTATTACAAAGTGAACTTACTTTTGTTATTCTGAAGAATTATTTTTAGCAGTACTGGAGTTTGAACTCAAGACCTCACACTTGCTACCACTGAGCCACTGTGCCAGCCCATCACATTTGTTACTTTTTCATGATAGCACTACTGTTAAATTCCCTTTGTTTTTCATCATCTGAGGATGTCTAGCTTACACCCTCAATAATGATATATACTATCACTGATAAGTCAACATAGGTTGACCATTCCTTTCCTTTAGCACTTGAAAATGTGCTGCTTTGTTAGTTAGGCTCTGTAATTTTCTTAGTAAGTATAAATAAGATATTGTTTCTCTTCAAGATTTTCCTTTTTCAGAAGTTTAATTACAGTGTGCCTTGGAATGGCTTGCTTTTCATTGTTTCTATTGGTGTTTGCTCAGCTGCTGCTGCTGGTTCTGCATTCTCCTCTTCCTCTTCCTCGTTGTTGTCATCATCCTCATCCACCTCCTCGTCCTCCTCCTCCTCCTCGTCCTTGTCATCCTCCTCCTCCTCCTCCTCCTCCTCCTCCTTCTTTTTCTTTTTCTTCTTTTTGTCAGTTATTGGGCTGGAACTTGAGGCTTGGACACTGTCCCTGAACTCTTTTGCTCAAGGCTACTCCCACTTTGAGCCACAGCACCATTTCTGGTTTTCTGGTGGCTAATTGGACAGAAGAATTTCACCAGATTTTCCTGCCCGGGCTGGCTTTGAACTGTGATCCACAGATCTCAGCCTCCTGAGTAGCTAGGATTATAGGCATAAGCCACCAGCACCCAGCTTGCTCAGCTTCTTGAATCTGGAGGTTGTCATGAAGGTTTTGGTCATTGTTTCTTCCATTCCTTTCAATTTTGTCTTTTTTCTCCTCTCTTATGGGGAATCTGTTGGTATGAATGTTAAAACTTTTGTAATAGTATGAGTGATTTCTATTACTCTATGGGGCTTTTTTTTTTTTGCAAATGAGTATACCAGTACTGGGTTTTGAACTCAAGACCTGGGCTCTGTCCTTTAGCTTTTTCATCAAAGGATGGCCACACTTCCACTTATAACTTTTTGCTGGTTAATTGGAGACAAGAGTGTCATGGACTGTTCTGCCTGGGCTGGCTTCCAACTGCAATCCTCGGATCTCAGCTTCCTGAGTGACTAGAATACAGGCATGAGCCACCAGTGGTTGGCTTATTAATTGTTATTTAAGATGGTTAATTTTTTTCTGTGTCTTCTCCACCTTGCTGTTGGGCCTATCCACTGAGTTCTCAAGTACTGGTAGTGTTATGTTTTTGAGTTCTAAAAACTCCATTCATTTTCCACTCTTTTTTGTTATTGACACTGCTTATTTGCTGTGATTTTCTATTTTATAATATTTTGAAGAGTTTTGTAATTTCTCACTGAAGTATTTCATGGGATATTTTAAAATGTTTTTCAGATAATTTAAGTGTCTCTTTCAATATTGACATCTGTGTATTTTCTCTTCTCATTCAAGTGGATATGGTTAGAAATTTTTCATTAGAAGTTGAACATTCTGGAACTCAAATTGTTTAAGCAGGTTTCCTCTGATACTTTCCTGGACAGATAGGGCAGGTCATTAGAAGTCCAGTTTTTACACAAGATGTCTCTTGCTAATCAGGTTGGTTAGGAGTGTGAGTTTGGTCTTGCCTCAACCTCCACTGATTCTATCTCAGTTATGCTAAAAAAAAAAAAAAAACACCACCACCACTAACAACAACAAAACAACCTCTCCTGGTTACTACTATTGAGAATAGAAATCATGGTGGTCTCCATTGGGAGGGGTCCATTTTCATTTAGGATAAATGTCCTTTCTCCCAAATGGTCCTTCTCTGTGTACAAGATGGCCTAAACTTCTTATTAGCTACAGTATTATGATCCCTAGCATTTTACTACATGCAGGTATCTCACTCCCTGTTTCTTGCTGCTTTGGGGGGGGGTGTTGGGGTGGGTCTGGGGCTTGAAATCAGAGCCTGGGGGCTGTCCCTTAGTTTTTACCCCTCAATGATGGCACTCTTGAATCACATCTCCACTTCTAGCTGGTTTAATTGGAGATAAGAGTCTCACAGAGTCTCCTACTTGGACTGGCTTTGAACCAAGATTCCCAGATGTCAGCCTCCTGAGTAACTAGGATTAAAACCATGATAAGACAATGTCCAGCTGCTTCTGTAGAAAAACTGCATCATGACTCTCCCTTCTCAGACCTTTCATAGACCACTGCAAGAAGAACAGAGGCTTTGTTTACACGTGTGATTAAATGTGGCATGTTCAAGCTGCATGGCCCTGGGACACTCATCCCTATTCTTTGAGTCTCCATTTTCCAAATTGGAAAGGAGGCATAGGAAGGTCACAGGATTCTTGCAGAAATTAGTAAAAGTAGGTCACAAGGCGCAGCACACTGGAGGCTCAATAAATCACAATTCCCTCCTTTTCCTTTCCCTGTCAAAGGTGTGATGCAATCCATTCAGAGGAAGAAGAAACCAAGAAACTACCCATGCCATGTGTAGATCTCATTTAAGTATTCCAGGGCTTCAATCTCATGTCTAATTTATCATGTTTAAATCTTATAGTCTAATAACTTGAACAGATACATTTGATCTCCTCCACACCTTTTCCCCCAGGATCCTGAAAACACCACAGAAACACGAAGACAATTCCAGTAAGGCCACCATTCGAAGAAGAGTGGGAGAGAAGCAGGAACTCAGGCAGATCAGGGGAGGCCATGAAAGACCAAGTGCTGGCCCACATGGTCAGCTCTCAAGACACTATTGTGTTCAGAGCAACATCAACATTCTCTGGCCAAAGCTGGGGTAGCTAGTGACGAACTATGGCAATGAACACTTTGTCAGCACTCCTTTTACCTCCTGCTCCTCAGAGCAGTCGTCGTGATCTCATCAGCCTGGCTACCGTAGCTCCCATCCCCCCCTCCAGGCGCGGGATAGGAAGAAAGTAGTAGCAAGAGAGTAAAAGGAAAACGAGCGCGCTCCATCCTCCAGGTCCCGGCCCCCCAAACCCCCGGGATTCCTCAGCATCCCAGCCCCGCAGCCAAGGGCAGCCGCCACAGCAGATTAGATAGGTTCACCTTTCAAAAAGCTTTCCCGATCTTGGGTCCCCCCCCCAACCCCCCCCGGATTCCTCAGCATCCCAGCCCCACAGCCAAGGGCAGCGGCCACAGCAGATTAGATAGGTTCCGCTTTCAAAAGGCTTTCCCGATCTTGGGGATACCGAAGTTGGCTGGCGTGTGTGTGTGTGTGTGTGTGTGTGTGTGTGTGTGTGTGTGTGTGTGTGTGTGTCTGTGTGTCTCTGTGTGTGTGTGTGGTGGGGGGGGCGGGGGGATGTCGGGTCTCGAACCATAAAGAGCAAGAAGCCAAAAACACTTTAGAGTCAATAAAAGAAAAAAAAGAAAAAAAAGAAAGCATCCGTGAATGCTGTGACCAGTACCCGAAAAGAATAAAGCTGTCTTGGAACCAGTCCCTAGGGTCTCCATCTGGAGACTGACTCTCACTCCCTGCTTTCCCTCCCTCCTTTTTCCCTCCTCCCTCTCATCTCTTCCCACCCTCCTCCAAGTCTGAAGTCTGTTTCCGACTCTCTCCAACACCCCTAATCTTCACCTCACCTGTAAATCACTGGTGAACACGACCCTCTCCAGTTCCCCTCCGCAAGTAGCCCAACAATAGATATTTTCCATAGGTAACAGCTTGGTGCCCAGCGAGAGATGTTGGGGGTCTCGAGGTGGGCGGCGGAAGGGGGCAGGGATGCTGCGACGTACAGTGGCTCACTTACCTAATCTCTTTAATGCTTTCCAATTTGCACATGATTTCTTGTTCATCTGCCATGCTTTTCACTCTCAATTTCCCGTCCGGGAGAATCTTATAAATGCACCAGCCAAGGGATACAATAGATACAATGTAGCCACCTCCTCCAGGCTTGGGGCTCTGAGCCTGTGCGTTAGGAGCTTGGGGAAGGCCTGGGAGCTGTAGTCCGCAGCTCCAGGGCCAGCCAGGCAGCCCAAGGCCCTGCAGGACTACAACTCCCAGAAGGCCAAGCGAGACACTCCTGTTTCTCTTCCTGCAGCCGCACTTTAAATCAGTTTGTCACAGATAATTATCTCAAAGGTTGTGGGGAGGGCAGACCAATGGAAATATTCGTCTGACCAGCATATGGAAAAAAATGAAGGGAAATAGTCCCGAAGACAACTAGAGAAATGAGAAATACACGTACCCACAACCGTTCTGGGCCTTCTGCCCCAGACACATTAGCAAGTCTCTAATTAGTGAGCCCCTGGACACTGAGTGAAACCCTGCAGGGGAATGTCAAGTGTCCTAGCTTCTGCCTAGTAACTTGTACGTTTGGTATTGAGATTGAAGTGGGGGTGGAATGAGGAAAGAGGAAAGAGGAGAGAGGAAGGAAGGAGGAGATAGCGATAAAAACTGGGGAAAGCTGGTGGGGAAACCTCTTTCCTTCTAGTTATCCATCCAGTGAAACTTTACTAAGCTCAGACTTTGCCACTCAATAAAGGAAGTACTGGAACAGGCAAAGATAAAATAAAAGCAAGTCCTTGCTTCTGAAAAGCGAGACTGAAAAAAAAGCCCATTAATTACAGTTCAGTGAGGTGTCCTATTACAGGAATAAATAAGTTGTAACCTGAGCAGTGATGATGAAAATAGATCTCTCTAAAGGTTACTAAGAATTTCCCAGAGCATAGAAGAAAAATTGGGTTTCCACGAAAGGACACAACAAACACACAGAGAAAGGAAAAATCGTTCAGGGTCTCAGGAGAATAAAGTTCATATGACAGGTGTGGAGGTAAAAAGAGAAATGTATACAGAAAACATAAGTTGTCATTGTTCCATTTGTAAGGACATGGAAAGACTTGGGAAAAATTATATTAAACGAAGTAAGCCAGACCCAAAGAAACATAGGCTGCATGGTCTCTCTAATTGGTAATAACTAGAATATGTCTAGGCTACCCTTAGCAGAGGATCACAATAGCTCAATGTACGTATGACCATATAAAACTATGCTAATTGAAATGAACTCCAAGAAATGGAATCGAGTGTTTTTCTTAGTGTACTGTTTGCAATTATTTCTTTTTTCTTTATTCCCCCCTCCCCACCCCCCGCCCTGCTTCGGTTTATTCCCTGTTGTCACTGATTTGATTTCTGTACTCTTTGTCTTGAATGTAAGTTTATCTGATTTGGGGAAGGGAAGGTGAATCACAAAAATGGTAGGGGAAAGGGTGAACCAGTGCAACAGTGATACTCACTAGACACTATGTTGGAAATGAAATTTACAACTTGGAGGGGAGTGGAGGGAAATGGGAGAAAATGAGGGAGGGGGTAACTCTTCAAAAAGAAATGTACTCATTACTTCTGTAACTGTAACCCTCTGTACATCACTTTTACAATAAAAAATTTTAAAAGCATAAATTGGAGATTTGAATGTCAGAATAAAAAGTTGGGACTTAATCCTATGTACCACATATATTCAGTAGCAGTTATTAAGTGCTCGCTATATGTCAAGTAATGTGACATTATATTAAGTGTTTTTGGTGGAGGCAGAGGAGATGGAACCCAGGGATTTATGCATATTTAGTATAATCTCTACTCATGAACTATGCACCAGTCCCTAACATAAAATAATTTGAACAGCATAGGAATGATAATGTTGAAGGCATGTCTGAGGAAAGTGACATTGGAAGCAAAGTGGAAAATTAGAAATGACAGTACCTAAGAGGAAAGAGTTAGTTACTCAAAGAGCAAGGACATACCCCAAGAAGTAGGCTTTGGTCAAAAGGAGGATTTGACTCTCTTCCAACTACAGGTATGTCAGAAATTTCCCCGAGCTTCCATTTGCCTGAAACTCAGTTTATCATCTGAAAAAATGGACTTCCAGTCTTCAAATGTTTATTTTGAAGACTCAATGAGATCATCCTCCATAATGGTGCTGAATACATGACTTGGTATTTTGTAGGAGCTTAAAAAAGTGTGTGAAACATGAATCTCAGCCCATTCTGAATGTCCACACAATTTAAATATTCTCTGGGTAAGGTACTGAAACATTTCTGTTCTTTGAATCCCAGATCTTAATAATTGTCATAGCCAGGATATCCTCTATATTTTTTCCTTTTTGTAAATCAACAGGATATGTATTTTTATTCATGAATATTAAATAGTACAGAGTTAGGGATTTCATCATGACCTTTTCATATACACCCAATCGTAGTCACCCATCTAGTACTTTATTTCTTTCTTCCTCCTAGTAGTCCCCCTGTTAATTTCATGATTATTTTGTTTTCTTCTTATTTCCACAAATGAGAGAAAATGTGATACTTGGCTTTGTGAAACTGGCTTATTACATTCAACATGATGATCTTGAATTCTGTCCATTTTCCAGAATAATTTCATATTTTTCCAGTCCTGGGCCTTGCACTCAGGGTTTTGTGCTTGCTAGGCAGGTATTCCACCACTTAGAACACTCCATCCCTAATTAAAAAAAAAACTCTTGTATTTTCTCTATCCCTTTTTCCACCAATTTTGAATAATATAGTTTTACAGGTGTCTCTATTGTAAGCTGACTTTGATTATTTAGGGGCATAAACCCAGAAGTGGTTTTAGTCTGATGTTTTTCTGATGATCTCTTTTTAAAATTTCCTGATATTGGGACTTAAACTCAAAGCCTTATGTTCTTGCTTGGCTTTTCCCCTCAAGTTGGTGCTCTACCACTTGACCAAACCTCTACTTCCAGATTTTTGTAGCTTAATTGGAGATAGTTGTCTGAGGAACTTTTTTATGAGCTGGCTTTGAGCCATAATCCTCATATCTCAGCCTCCTGAGTAGTTAGGATTATAGGTGTGAGGCACTAGCACCCAGATTTTCTGGCGATCTTGAAGGTCCCTATATTATAGCGCCACGATGTGTCATTTAAAGACCACTGAATTGATTATTTGCATTGCCTGTGGATTTAGGCCAAGAACTGGCTTCCACCATGTCTATGAGTGGCATTGAGGAAGAAGCTGTGTACCTAGGATTTATGCATCATGTACCTATCATGTAATGACTTCTGTGCAAGAAGACTATAGGTATAGTTTCTCATTGCATCCTCAGAACTACAATGAAGGAGACAGGTTAATCCTCTTTAATAAGACTGAAAATAGACTCAAATGAGAAAAACATGCTTATCAAGGCAATGCACAAAGGTATGAAGTAAGAATTTGAACTCAATTTGAATTGAGTCATTTTCAGATTAATGAAGACAGTATGTATGGAAAAATATGACAAAGAAAATAGGGTGATGAATAAGCATAAAGTACTTTACAAAGTGAGTGAGCATTGGTTGGACAAGAAGTGAAATATATGTATGAGAATGTGTGGGAAGAAGTTTAAGAATGGTCTTCAGAGTGGGGCGCTGGTGGCTCATGCCTGTAATCCTAGCTACTCAAGAGGCTGAGATCTGAAGACTGTGGTTCAAAGCTGGCAGGGGAAGGACAATTCCTGAGACTCTTCTTTCCAATTAACCACCAAAAAGCTAGACATGGAGCTGTGGCTCCAGTAGTAGAGTGCCTACCTTGAACAAAAAAGCTAAGAGACAACACCTGGATCCTGAGTTCAAGCTTCAAGAAGCATGCACCCATGCACCAATGACAAACACATAAGCTGTCAGGGCTCTGGACAATTAAGTGAAGCAGTAGTAGATTGTGGAGATAAGCAGGAAAAAGCAGAATCTTCTATGCCACCATGATGAGCTGGGATTTTATTTTAAGCAGTGGAACAACATAATCTAGGTTTTAAATAGCCCTCTGACTGCTGTGAGAATAGATTGTACCGAGTAAGAGTACAAGCAAAAGAAAGTAGAAGAAAAGTGATTACAGTTGTCCAGGAAAAAGCTGGTGATAGATTGAATTACAGTAGTAATAGTAGATATGAAGAAAAATAGATTTACTGGAAACATATTACTGGATTGATATGACTCATGCATAGATGAGATAGAAGGTACAGTGGGAGCAATAGCACATCTAAAATGATTCTTGTAATGTGTACAGTATTACATTTAGGAAAAATAAGTGGTGGTGTTCTATTGCACAGTAGGGTGGCTATAGTTACTGATAATGCATTGTGTATTGCAAAAAAAGCTAGAAAAGAGGACTTTAAATGTCTTTACCACAAAAATAAGAAAAATAGTTAAGGCGATATTTTAATTATTTTGATTTGATCACTATATGTATTACAATATCACATTGTACTCCATGAAAGTGTACAGTTACAATGTATGAACCAAAAATAAAATAAAACCTAAAATTAATAAAAATAATATGTTTAAAGGAAATAATTCCTGGATTCAGGGCCTGAAAAGTAGGACAGTGCCATTTACTGAGACAGAAAAGAGTAAAAGAGAACTATAGAATATCAGAGTTAGAAGGGACCCTATATATGACACACAGAAAAACTAAAGACCAGAATTGGCAAGCTCATGCCTGTAATCCTACTTACTCATGAGGCTGAGAGCCAAGGATCTTAGTTTAAAGCCAGCCTGGGCAGAAAAACCTATGAAATTCTTATCTCTAATTAACTACCCCAAATCCAGAAGTCAAGGTGTATCTCCAATGAATGAAAAAGCTAAGGGACAGAGTTCAAGTCCCAGTACTGGAACAAAAAAAGAAAAGCAAAGAATTAAATGGAAATGGCAATGGAATTGGCTTGCTGCCATTGCCAGCATTTAGGAATGAAAGACTGAATTGGTAATCTGTTACCAATCTGTTACTTACCAGAAAACTTTCATGTTCTCTATCCCTTTAATTTGGGGAGTAGTAATTAGAGCCTTATCTAAGATTTCCCTGATTGATGGGAGTTACTTGTGATTAAGATAATTTGTATCTGCCTTTATAAAGTGTATTAGGTACTCTCCAGGCAATGTTTCAGCTAAGATTCATGCTATTTTTGATGGCTTTATATCACTGAATTTTCACTCCTTATTCTTTCTCACCTATTCAGTGACCTAGATCCCCAAGTGTGAAGTGCAGTCAACAAAG